GAACCCTCCTCCATGCTGACACTTGACGACAGCAGAATCCCACTAGCGGACAGCTTGTCTTTTCACCAGTAATTGAAGCAAAAGCTGTGAAGCTAAGAGCTGAGTCACAGTCACAGTCACAGTCATTTGCCCACGCGGTACAGTGTCATGCGCCTTCCTCTTCTCGGAGGTGACTGACAGGATGAAGTGAAACCGACTGACACTTTTCAATGATAGAATAAAAAGAAAAACAACTTTCTTTTGGCCTTTAGATACTCAACAAAGGCTAAGACAGGCAGACCCTTACCTCACATTCTAAGCAAAATTTAACTCAAACTGTAGCAAAGACCTAAAACCGGGGGTTGGGAGTCTGTGGGCAAAGTGTTTTCTTGTGCAAGTATAAGAACCTGAGTTGCCCAGGCGGGGGTGGCGCACACCTTTAATCCCAGCACTCGGGAAGCAGATGCAGGCAGATCTTTGTGAGTTCGAGGCCAGCCTGGTCTACAGAGCGAGTTCCAGGAAAGGCGCAAAGCTACACAGAGAAACCCTGTCTCAAAAAACCCAAAAAAAAAGAAGCCGAGTTCAGATCCCCAGCACCCATTTCAAATGCTGGATATGGGGCTGAAGAGACGGCTTAGCAGTTAATTAGACTGACTGCTCTTGCAGAAGACCTGGGTTCGATCCCCAGCACCTACATGACGGACGATTCACATCCATCTCTAACTTTGGTTCCAGGGGGATCCAATGTCCTCTTCTGACTTGTGGGCATAAAGCATTCATATGATGCACACACATACATGCAGGCAAATCACTCACACATGAAATAAAAGAAATAAACTTAAATCTAAAAATATACATACAAACATGCACACATGCAAAGGAGAAACTTAGAAACAATTTGGTCTGGGCTACTGATAAAGATTTAAAAGTCATCTATGTAAAAGTCTGAGAGGAAACCACGGAACATCTAATTATCCCACAGAAATATTCACAGCAGTGCTAAGTAGGAATGAACATTGAGGATCCCTTTGAAGGAAACAGAAATCAGAAATAAAAAGGGCACTGGTACAGCAAAAAAGAGTTTTACAAGAGATAACGTAGGCTTTAAAACAGGCGCTCGGGCCAGGGGTGTCAGTGCGTCCTTACAATTCCAGCACTTGGGATAGAGGCAGGTGGACCTCTGGGAGTTCTACGTAGTGAGTTCCAGACCAGTCAGGGCTATAAAGTGAGATCCTGTCTAAAAATAAAAATAAAAATAGGAACTCTTAGGGCTGAGGCGATGACTCAGTGGCTAACAGCACTTGGCTGTTCTTGCAGAAGACCCAAGTTCAGATCCCAGCACCCACAATGGGTGGG